CATGATATAGAAATGGTCAGTTCAAATAAAGGTTTAAGAGATGCTAAGAGACACGCCTATGGCAATAAATGAAGTTATTATTATTTAGGAAATGCCAGGCACTTATCACAGCCAAAAAAGGAAGGTTATAAAACAAAATATAAGATGTAATAGTACAGTTTCAAAGAACAGCTAATATTTCCAAATCTTCTTCCCAGCAATTTATCCATCTTCCATAATTTAGAGCCTTGACAAGTTATATATGGGAATTCAGGTCATCAGTTCTATAGGATTCAATCTTGTCAATAATTTCTAGGATTGTCTTTCATAGATATGTTCCATAGAGCTCCACAGATACATTTATTATCATTTTAAAAAATATTTTTCAGTTGTAGATGAACACAATACCTTAATTTTATTTATTTATTTTTATGTGGTGCTAAGAATCAAACTCAGTGCCTCACACATACTAGGCAAGTGCTCTACCACTCAGCCAAAATCCCAGCCCATTTATTATCATTTTTTAAAGGCAGAAATTATCTTTATATTGTTTTTTATTTTGATGATGTAAGTTATTATTCTTTAGACAACTTGCTAAATTCTGTTTGAAACACAAGCAAATTTATCTTTTCCATATTTAGAGTGATAGGTATATATTTGACAGCTACTAGCAGCAATTATTGTTGAGTAGGAGCCTATCCAAAGAATTGTTGACAACTAAAGTTGCTGAAGCTTTTGTGGCCAAAGTCAAATCCAATAATACTGTGTTTATTTGCTTTTCGCCAATTGTTAGGCCATATCCCATCACAGTCTAACAATCCAAAAGAGAATATTGCCAAATCATTGGCCAGTTTTCAGAATGGCTAACCCTTTTCTTTCGATGGAGCTAACAATGCTCAATGATATCCATGGAAGACATGATTTCTCTTGGATCAGTGGGGTTTATGACAATTAAGGATTTTTTTCTATTTACTATTGTGAAAGGAACAAAATTTTTTATTAATTAGATATCAAAAGCAAGAAGATTATCTTGAAGGATTGGGTTCTCTGTTCCACATCTGTCTTTCAGGGCAGTTGATGGGCACCCAGCACACTGCTGCCATCTCTCATACAGCACTTCAATTCCCAACTAAAACAGCAGTGTTATTTTTGTCAGGTGTGGAGTGATTGACTCTGTCTGCTGATGGCCCAATAAATATCTAGATTCACCCTCTGTATCTGTCTCATCAGAAGTGGAAGTATTGACTATTCTTTCCAGTTCCTTTATGATGTTATCAATTTTGTCCTCTGTAGAGAACACAAATGTACTTTTTGAAGGGACATTTTATGCTTTTAGTATACTTACTATTTGCTCAAGTTAGGTTCCAATTTTATCACTGATAAATCTACCCAAAGGCTAAATGTGGAAGCACCAGAAAGAACAAGTAGAGAGAAAAAGGTTTTGCCTCCTGGTTAGGAGCAGTGTGCAATTCCTTAGGACCAGTTCTTTGGTAACAGATGTTCTCCCTCAAGAGTCAGAAATAAGGTCCAACTTTTCTTAGCCTTTCATGAGTTCCCCCATCTACATAATTAATTCTTGCTCATGTGTCTATAAATATAAGTCTTATTTCTGGTCAGTTCCTTGGTACATGCTTTCTGCAGTGTGTTCATTGTAAACTAAATTTGAATTATTTGATAAGATGACACTATAACTAAAGTAAGACTGAAGTCAATGAGATTTTCACAATTCAGGGCAGCTTTAGTAATTTTTCAAGTTCCTTAAAGATATGAGACATAGTAATCACATCTACTTCTCCAAACACTTCCCTCTTCACCTCCCCACCCTTCCTCCACCTATCCCAGCCTAACTTCTTCTAGAAGCAAGAACATACAACCAGATCTTTCCCCTCTCCTGCTAATGCCAATCCATATTTACCAATATCACATTCCTAAGGACTGATGATATGGCTTAGTGGTAAAACACTTGCCTAGTGCACACAAGTCCCTGGATTCAATTCTCAGAACCCCACCAAAATAGTTTTATGTGGGAGCTATGCTTCTGTTTGTAGAACTAAGCATCCCTCTAAGTGCTATTAACATCTCAAGTCATTTCCCTTTCATTCAAAGAAATCTTTTGAGAATGGATTGGGACTTTCTTATGGTAACAAAGAACAATTAATGTTTTATATAGCTGGCATCTTACTTTTCATATAAAAGGGTTTTTATCTAAGATATTAAAATCTATATCATGGACCCCTAAAGAAGTTCAACACCTGTTAAAATTTTTAAGGCATAAAAACATGAAGAATGATATTTAAAATTTAATTCTGATATTCACTAGTTACACAAGTCTGCTACATCAGAATCTAGTAGACAATCCAATTATCTTTAATTCTCATTTCAACAAAAACAAGAAAGGAAAATCTTTTGTTCATTTATTCATTCATTCATTAATTATTGAAGGTGGTAAACAATCCAAATTTTGGAATTTCAAGTTTCTCATCCTCTTGAGTTATTTTAAACAAATTCTCCTAGGCATTTCCTTTGTATCTATCTTTCCTAATAGAATAGCTTCAATTGCACCTTGTGAACTTGCATGTTCATGTATAGACATTCACTCTTAAAATGAGTAAGGCTGCCTCTTAAATAATAGGAAAGAGCTATCAGAATTATCTTCTGTAAATTATTCTCCACAGATTCTTCATTGAATTATCTCATTCTGTATCTTAGTATTTCCTATAGACAAAATTATCTTAGCCTACTTAATTTTGAAGAAACCTTATTGACTCCTTTTTCAATTAGATAGCAGGGCGATTTGACAATGATTTAGTTTGCTTAAAGAATTCTGATGAAGATTTCTCTTTCCAGGAGAATTTATCATCTCAAAAAAGTATACCACATATATAGACTTGTAAAAAGCTTGAAGGTGAATATTATTTACATAATGTAAGTCATGTCTTTTTAATACATTGATATTGTGACATTCTAATTTATAATGACATAGGATGACTTTTTTCCTTTCTTTTTACTGTTGAACTAGTGTTAGAGGAGAAATGACTTACCAAAATAGCATTATGATACTCAAAGTTACCAAATTGTATTTCAAACTATAGAATACTTCTAGTATTTTGGGTATGTGTGTATGTACACATATATATGTACATATATGTGTATTTAAAGAAATTTTAACACAAAATAAAATTTACATGTATAAATACATTCTAATTGAATATATTTTTGATGCCAAATAATCATACATATTATTCATTTTTCGCTAAATTTTATATCCAACTGTTCACTTTTTCATTATTTGGTAAAACATTCAAAAAGAATTAGAGTATAGAAGAATTCTACAGTTTATTACTACCATTTGAAATTAGATCTGGCAACAAATCTTGTCATTGAGATAATATTCACTTTCATTCATTGTGAGTGATAGTTATACAATAGCTACTTACATTTCTTTACATTCATGCAATATGCTCTGTGGTTGAGGACAGACTAGGTTATAAGAACTAGAAGGTATGTTGGAGAACATATCCCATGTTTTACAGATGAAATTAGAAAAACTGAAAAGTCATTCACAGAAGGGCACAGGAACCATGTGTTATAACTTCCATCTGAGCTCTGGCTTTCTACCAGATTCTATTATCCATCATAAATCTCAATATTTTTTAAATAAACTGATGATAAGCCAAATTTTATTGCTCACATAGAAACGAATATCCATAAAACTTCCTCTGAATAGTCATTTCCTTAACTAAACTTCAGTATAATCAGAACAATCTTCTAGAATTAACATGATACCTTGGTTAATAGCAATAATAATAACAAAACCATAATTGTTCACAGCCCATCAAAATGGCCTTAACATTCTGTATCAATTATAGTTAAAGATCCTCTTGTTTTCATATTGTAAGCATAATTCTCCCAAATGCTCATTTATTTATTTATTAGTTTAGAAGTCTAAAAGACATTTAGTAAACAGGAAACAAAAGTTTTAAGTAATTACTATGAGTCTGGCACTGTGCTAGGCACATGATCACACCACTATCCCCATGCATTATTTTTTTCAACTGACTTTAACACACCTAACACATATAATATTAACATTTTCCAAGTCCTAATAATATTACCAAAGCTAATTTTCAGTGAGGAATTTTAAATCCATAAGGTAAATGTTGAAGTATGTTTTACAATATTTTCAATATTTTATTGAAATTGGTTATTAATCATAAAAGTTCAATCCTGAAAAAAAATTCAATCCTGACATTTTAATATGAAAATAACAACTGATTCTTAGGGAAAATGTAAGGCTTTTCAATTATAAATGATGAAAATAACATCTCTTTCAACTTTTATTTACTGACATTTCTGTTTCTCTTAAAACAACATATAGCTTATATGACACAGTAGATTTACATAAAGAAAATGTTAGAAAGAAACTATTTTTATGCCTAGGTGGATACGTAAGCAATCTAACACTAACTCATTATGACATGAATGCATGAGGATGCCACAGATTCCCTTCAGTTTTGCAATTATACACAATTGAACAAAAATGCATTTTTGAACACAGATTAAGTATTTTGCATCATGGAAATATTCTTTCAAAGGAAACTATTAAAATAAATAAATTCTCTCTTCCTCAAACTGGTGATTCGTACTTTGGTAAGCATTTACATAGAAGTATGGGAAAGCTCTTAAAAAGCTTTGCGAGGGCAAAAAATCACATTTCAATGTGAATAATACTATTTACATCTTGCTTTACTTAAGAGCATTTTAAGGACATGGAGTATGTGTTTTACAGTTGACTTATTTATAAGTTTCAACTATAGTATTAGTAAACTTGCCCTGTTCCAAGATATATTTTTAGGAACATGATTCACACAATCCCAATTTACAGAAATTAGAAAGCAATATTGCATTTAATTATTATTTCACAAGTAAAGGAAACTGAGAAAGCTTATCACCTGAAAATTTATCCTTTAACACATTGTCAAGGGCTATAAACAGTGCTTTAAATAAAGGACATTACTTACTGTAATTGTTCTTCATCTCTTGGGTCCCTTTTACTTTGCCTCGTTTATCAATCCTCAGATACCACTGTGTTCGACAGAAAAGTCTTCTCACTCTTATATCCCCTCCTTCCATGTAATCATAACTTCTGGTATGTCGCTCGGGACTGGAGCAGTTCACATTTGTAGCCATTTGCTCTGGAGTCATGTCATTGCAAGCTAAAGATAGAGTGCCCACTAGACAGATAATGTGAAAACATGATGTGTAGAGCAAGGTTGGCAGGATCCATGTCAGTATCCATTTGTGCATTATAGTGTAGTGCTCCGGGTGTTCATGAATAACATAATGAAAAGTAAAATCCTGAGTTGATTGTTACTCCTAGGTCATTGACCTCTTCCTATCTGTTAATTATATAGACTTATTTAAGAAAGAGTAGTTGCTCTTTCCAAATTGTTACCCTTATCCTTTTAGTTTCTGATAACAATACAGGATCCTCCTTAAATAACTCTGTGTTGATAAATCCTTATAAAAACAGGTTGTAATAAGCCCAGTTGCTGCGGTGCTGTTTGCTACTTGACTTCTGTTTGCAATGAGAGATTAAGAATGGGGAGGGAAGGAGAGAGGAAGATAAAAAAAATCGTGTTATAAATTTCAGAGAGTAAATAGGATTATAGCATGCAGTGTAGTTTATACTTTGAAGATACATTTAAGACAGATTTAACAGAGAGTGTCAACAGCTTTACCACTCTATATGCAGATTTATAAAAGTTATATATGAATAGAAACAAATCAGAACATGACTAGACCATTCATTTCAGTCACTATTTTATAAGAAATACTCTGTAATCAGAGTTATTGATTTAAATCAAGTTCTGCAATTACTATTAACAAAGTATAAAGGCTCTCCCTGCATTTCTTTATTATATGCTTTTACATTTATGATTAATCAATAATTTTCTCCTGAACTGCCCACATTTTTCAAGTTAAATGTCAGGATTGCTCTGGAGAGCTTCAACTTTATGTAAGTTCTACAACATAATAACTATAGATATTTTTTACATGGTTCAAAAATCTGGTAACTTTTACCTTCCCCCTCAATACCGTAACCAGAGAAAGAGATAAAGTTCTAGAAAACATTCAGAATTGTTTTTAAAGACAAATAACAGTAACTTACTTGTTCTGTTTATAACAGCTGGATACACAAGAATTCCATGTCTGTTGTCTGCCTTGTGCAACTTGAGCCTCTCTACTGTAGCTACAAACTATTTCTCAGCTGAGAAATCCTCCAGCAGAATCATAATTGTTTCCATAAATCAACAGGCAAGAGGATTTTCTCTGTGTGTGTGAGCGCGTGTGTGCTTGTGTGTGTGTGGAGCCTTTTATTCAGGGCTTTTCGATAAATACCTTTGCTGACCTCATTGGAAGCAATTAAAACTTAACCAGTGAGCTGTTAGTTGAATGCAACAGCGAGAATAGAAGGAGGCTTGTATAATATTCAATGGTCATGAGAGGGAGCTATGAACATGCTTAAATCTACAAGTGGGTATCTACTTTGTAGAAACAGATCTCTGATTCTGAAGCAGTTAGGAGGGGAAAGGAAAATGTAGACCTTCTTTACAGCACAGCACTTACATAGATTTTGGAAAATATTTCCTTGAACATATATGAAAGGGGTTTTGACAAGTTAGAAAATCTTTTCTACAGCTTTATGATGTATGTATTTCTTCAATTACTCTTTTGTGCTCAAATGTCAGAACAAAACTAATATGTGTTAACTCCAATCTTAGTCTCTTAAAACATTCTGTTGTTGAGCTAAGGGTTTATCTTTGCACACAGAGATCATTCAATATTGCATATGAGTATAATTTTTATGTTCCTAGCCTGAAAACAAGAAGCCCTAGTTTCTTCTTAGACTTAGGCTACTTAAAATAAGTATGACCTTGAGCAAGTCACTTGACATTCCTGAGTCTCAAATGCTGCTACATTTGTAAAATTAAAGTATTAATCTAAATGATCCAGTGGTGCTTTGTACTCTTAAAATTCTGTATCCTGTGATTTACACCAATGGCTAATATAAGGAAGAGGAATTTCAAAAATTATTATTAAAATTAAAAGTAAAGAAAATGGTTTTACCTTGGTATCAGTGTTTGACTTTTGCCTCAATGAGAATATTAGCCTAATAAAAAAAAAACATTTGGGGGATGGAATTATAAAACCTATAGCTAACGTAAATAACAGAAATCTATTATACTTTTCAAAATGAGTTGTTCTCTTTATTTCCTGTTCTGGAGTATATATGGCAGAGTCCAAATGTTTTATTAGATATTTGGTTATAATAATTGCATCGTAAGTCTAACTCAGTGTTTAGGAATGTATATTAAAATTCTTCCTATGTTATACACATACACACACACACACACACACACACACACACACACACACACACATACTTCTGTACTTAAAATGCACAACTTTACCACCAGGTGGTGCATGTAGACCAAATAGGGGGGAAAAAAAGAAATCAAGTTTATTCAATTGGATTATGGTTTGTGTTTTCCTACATGTCTATACTTTTAGAGAATAGAATCAATAGCACAAAATATTTTAAATAACCCCAGTTACCATTTATTTATGAAATACTGAAAGTGCTAAATTTTTAAGCAGAGCAGGTGGGCTCTTCTATAATTAGGTCTGTTGATAAAAAGAGGGCTCAAAACATTCTGTCATCCCTCTGAGAGCAGAAGAGGGATGAAAGTATGAGGCTATTGTGTTCTGAATTACATCCCACTAATTTTGGAGCCAACAGTAATGAACAGGGTCAGAATTCCTAGGACTTGGAATTTCTTCCAAAGAAATGAAAAGTTATTAACAGTCAGTACCCAATTTAAATATATTCAAGAACTACTAAGTTCATCTGTTCTACACTGATCCTACATACTTTAAACCAAAAAAAATTAATGTATTAGAAGTCAATATTTGCTAACTAAATGCTTAAGATTTAAATAAAAGAAGTGGATAGTTTGCTCCTAAAGAGTGCTTAGTGCCACCTTAAAAATCTGCTGTACAGAATTGACTATAGAACCAGAAACAAAGAATAAAATTGTAAGTGAAACATTAAATATTATTATATTCCAATTTGGAAATAGGATTTAAGTAATAATAAACGGATCAATTTCAACAAGGAAATCATATGAGGAATTTGAGTTCCTTGATTATCAGTTTCTTAGTTGGAGAATAATTACCTCAAGATAGGTGCAATACCTGTTTCCCTGGTATCATAGCTATAATGCAGAGCCTCGCTTGAACTCCACTTATGCCCAGATTATACCTACATTCAAGAGGGCTTCTCCAAGAACTAATAACTTTAGTTATCTCCAGGTGGAGTAACCCTCTGGGTTTTATTTCCATTTTAATTTTAGGAAAGAATATATGAAAAGACAGAGAATTTATTTCTGTGAATATCATGAAAATAGACAGTTGTCTATTTAATCAACTGCCTTTATATCTTTTATTCCATGAAGAAATAAATGATACCTTTGGTTTCATGTATTTTGAGATTCAGTAATTAATTGTAAAATGGTGCATCTTTCATAATTATTCATAATATAATCAATAGAAAGGAAAATAATTAAACATTTTCATTTCTTGGCATTCTTACATCCTATCTTGTTGCCCATCCTCCTAGTTTCCATCTTTTCTCCAAAATACAGATAGCCATTGTTAGTTTTTTTTTTAACTTTACCTTTATACAGAAGGTAGCATGCCATACATATTGTTCTGCATGTCACTTTTTCATTAAAATAGGGAGTCTTCCCATTTCAGTATTCAAGAAGATCCCTTGATTTTTTACAGCTGCCTAGTATTCCCTTAAGTGGGTTTATCCCAGTGTATTTAACCAGCCTCCATTGATGAACATTTAATTTTTAAAGAACTAATCTCTTACCAAAAATGCTATAATGAACAAATATGTCACTTTATAGTGTACAAATACATCTTCAAAATCAATTTTCAGCATTGGACCATCTGAGCCAAAAGAGGGGTGTGTGTGTGTGTGTGTGTGTGAAAGAGAGAGAGAGAGAGAGACAGAGACAGAGAGACAGAGAGAGAGAGACAGAGAGAGAGAGAGAATTTTGATATTGCAACTTATAGTCCATGAAGGGTTTGCTAGTTTTTTAATCCCACTAACAATACCTAAAAATAAACACCCATTTGCTCAACAGTATATTGCCAAAATACGGGATTTTGCTAAACCAATAAGTGAGAATGGCATTTCATTCTTATGAGACAAAGTGACCATGATGTATGAGTACCATAAAGACAAGATAAATGGTGCTGTAAATGTCTGCAATAAGTGGCACAAGAGGTTTCCCTGGAAAATGTCAGCAGAGCTACAATTCAAAGCATGAGTGGGAATGAACAAGGTGAAGAGGTATTCGTGAATGTAGAAAAATCGTGTGTCACCTAAATGACAGCATACTCTTTTCAACAATTAGAAACCAGCATGCCCCCAGTAGAGAGAAGAAGGACCATGGTACATGAAGAGAATGGAGAGGCAGGTGGGATCTCTGTGGGCTATGTTAAGGAGATTGACTTATAGTCTAGGAGCAAAGGGAAGTTATTATGGTATGTTAAGTTTAAGTGTGGCCTGATGAGAATTTCACTCTGTCTCTGTTCTGGTCAAAACTTAATTCCTACTGGCAGAATAAGCTTATGACATATTAAATTCTATTCATTCATCCTGTTTTTTCTGTTCTTCATATTATGGAAAAGATAGCCAAATTTTGTAATTGGAAGGGCAAGTTTGTGGGGAAAAGTCATGTTTCCTCACTTGAATAAAATTGAATCCATTTTAAAAATTCATACTAAATGCCCTAAAAATAAGGGAAGCATAAGAATATTTTTGAGAAGCAACACAATAAAATTAGAGTCCCATGAACTGGGGAGCACAGAGAAAAGTCTATAGACTCCCTACTTGGGAAGTCATGTTCCTGTATTTCTAGTAGCATCATACACCAGAGAAAGCAAAACTCCAGATAACAAAGACCGTCTCCTGTGTCTAAAGAGACCATAATCATCCCTTGAAATATTTCTCATGTTTAAATAAAAAATCAGGAAACATCCTAGAACCCAGTCCTGAAGGAACTGTGTAAATAGTCATTAAACACCCCAGAAATAACCAGGGTAAGCCAAATGACTCAATGATCAAAGCCCTTGCCTTGGCCTTGCATAAAATCCTTGAGACCCATGAGTAACAGAGGTTGAGTTTTCCATCAACCTGAGGTGGGGGTGGAATTCTCAAAATTGAAGCTAGGTTGATTTATATTTATAAATATAAATTTATGTTCTTCCTTACATATCTGAAGGATACGTCCAAGATTTATTTCTGCTACATTCCTACAGCTGTCCTCAGACTATTAATTTATCTTTATCTTTTCTCTTGTCCTTTCCATTCTATAAATTCAGCCTCAAATCTGGATCATACCATATAACCAATTCTACTTATCTCCTTGATTCATCTATTCAACAAATATTTATCAAATAGCTACTTACTACCAGATGTTGTGTTAGCCATCTGAGATACAATAGTGATCTTTCCAAAAGTGACCTCTGCCTTTACAGAGTCTGCCGTCCAGTGAGAGAACAAACATGAACAAATGGGTCTGGGCATGGTGGGGATAATTTGGGTAGTTGAAGATCTTGTGTTTGAAGAATGGAAAGGAGATCAACAGGAATGAAGTACATGAACAGAGGGAAAAGAGGTAGGCATGGACTTGATCATTAAGAACTTAACATGATAGGAACTTGGGTTTATTCTAAGAAATAGGAAACTGGAGTACAGGTATGTCTTTTCAAACCTGATTTACCTAGTCAAAGACAATAATTTAAACTCAGGAGTAAAATCCCCAAAGGAATTAAGCAAAGCTGAGGTCCCTATAAATCCTTAATTATGTAAACTTTGTGCTTACCCATGGCATAATGCCCTAACATTTAAAAACTAACTGTATATAAGATGTGAAGTCTGACTCATATGCTCAAAATTGTGGTGTGCCTGTGACTCAACTATGTAAATATCTCAGTTTACAAATGTTATTTGATTCTTTGAATCTCTGAGTTTATAAAAACTTTTGTTTTATTTAATTTATACTTATAAAAGTTCTGTGAAATACTAATCTAAATTTAAAGCTCTTCAAATTACATTTTTTAATTTACTGAATTATGGTCCAAGTTTATAGCTGGAGCAAGTTCTCTCATTAGCAAGCTCCTAGGTTTTGCAAAGGATTATTATTTAATTTCTATTCTTTGTAAGTTTCTATAAAGTGAATGTGAGATATAAATGTAAGAATATAGAGAAAAGAACTGAGAAGTATCTCT